ATTATTGTCATTATCAAACTTGACCAAGATCTCATTATTATATTGTTATATATATGCACTACCAGGTTTCATCAAGTTCAGATAAAAAAAACTGTAGCCTCTTTCATGTCTGAAAGCCAAATTTGAATTGTTTTTATTGATTCAAGAGCAACAACTTCACAACCGTTCATTCGATTATTACCAAATTCGATCTTGACCGAGATCTCATCCATTTATACATGCATACCAAGTTTCATCTAGATCGGATAAAAACTGTAGCCTCTATCGTGTCAGACGGACAGACGGACGGACAAGGGCGATAGCAAAATACGTTCACATTTCTATATGGATATATAATAAAAAATATTATAAATTCGACTTCAAATTATCACACTATAATTTATCTTATATTTACTTTCTTATCAGTATGTTGTCATATATAGATATTTATTATTTACATCCGGGTATAATTCACAACATTACACGAACGATCATCTTATTTCTAGATAACAACGTAAAAACAAAATGTTTGAGTCGAACCCGGATATGTATAAATATCTTTGTTAGACTATAGACTATACTTGATAACAGTATAGTAACATAATCTATCTCATACAATACACAAGAACTTATGAATATTCTAACAAATTGTTTATTTTTTAAAGGTATACTACCTCTTAGGATGACCAAAATTTAAATTTCAAACTTAGTTAAAATGAGTCGTAGTTCATCAATGGACTTTGCCTAGTGTCAAAACTATACAACACAATCTCTATATAATCCAATCAATCCATAAAACAAAGTATTAATTAATTAAACTACGTGATTTTGAAATATGCTTAGAAACGTCTTTCAATAATTACATAGATTAATTGATATATAGAGATTCTATTCTTTAGTCATGAGACCTGTTTAAGTCCAACTGATGAATATATACACTTGTTAACCAAGATAGAGACTTTAAAGTTGGGTTCCCTTATTTTCATTTATGAAAATGAAAATGCTAATACTTATATGAAAAGAAAGTAGAGGTGTTCTAATGACTTGGAAAAATACCAGTTTGTCTCACATGTCCACAATTACTTCATAATTAGCTAAATTAGTAGAGAATTACCAGCAGAATTTCAATGAGTGTCCGATCAAGAAGCGTCAAAAAGTCTTTTTTTCTTTATCCAGACTGTACTTACACGGACATTTATGATTGGTTAAAACTCTTAATTATATGCGATAAGAACATAATGATATGATAAAGAATACATGATATTTCATTAGAAACACCAATTAATCAAATTATTTGCTTAATTTGACACCAAAAAATAAGGAAACCCATCTTTAAATTTTATATCCATTCTAAGTATGGTTTTAAGTATTGTGTAACACCTTCATAAACCTGTGGTCATTATAATATCTACATTTTGTGAACAGGTTCATCCTATTTTTCTACCCTGTATAAAATAATGTGACATTCCTGAACGTTTGATACAAAATCAAGTTTTAGTTCTTAATGCATATAGATTTTTTTATGCAAAATGCGTGGGAACTCCTCCTAGAAATAAAAGTAGAAATAATTTTAATCAACTTACCGTAAATTTCAACTTCACATAAAGTTAAAAAGTGACGTGGTTCATCAGGTTTATTATTACTGATATTAACATAACGACCAGTTATAGATCTATTACATTCTATTGGATATACAGCAGGAGGGTTTGATGTACCAGGATGTTGAAAACATAATTCATTATCAATATAAACAGAAAATCCTTTTAAATATTCTAATTCTGAAATATCAAGAGGAAATAAAACCTTATCAATAAAAATGTTCTAAATTAAAATTCATTATGTGGCTGTGATGTTTTAACATTTTTCCCTTGGTAATTCACATCCTTGTTAAGATTGAAGCCGCGATGACTTAGTGAGTTAGACGCATGCGCGCTAACCTGAATGTCTAGCGTTCAATCCCGGCATAGGTCGATTTTTCAACTCAGTTTCCCCCTGCTAGTGATGCAGGTCGGAGCGCTGATTTGGAAAAAGTGTTAAGTCGCTTGGATGGGAAAATAAAACGAAAGCCTATGGTGCTACAGGTTGTGCACGTTAAAGATCCCTCGACAGTTATAAATCGAAGAGTAGTCTAATGCCGCCGTTTTGGGAAAATATCCTTCGTCCCACACTTCATGGCATTGACCGTCTTCATTAGTCTAATTAAGTACAGAAGAGTAGGATGTTTCAGTTCTTTTCCTTGTTTAGATGACTAAATCAGTAAAATTAAGGTTGAATATTTTACATNGAATAATGTAGTAGAACTTACTGTCATCTCTATGAAACGTCTTTAAAAAATACTGGTGTTGTAAATCTATATACCACCAAGCCCAAGGTGAATAATCAGTATCACTACAGTAATGTGTATCTCTATTTGTATCAGTATATCCATCTACTACTAGTTCAGGACCATATTGACTTCTGTCATTTTTAAATATACCACTTTGAAAGACATACCTAGTATCTAAAGCTATATTCTCTGAAAATAGAAATAAACATAACATAAATAGTTAGAGATATTTTATATTTGTTATATTTATACTATATTACTGTATTTGTATATAACTATGTTAAAATTAAAATTAGACCAAACTTTCGTTCCATTTTTATTTGCTTTTATATTTACTATAGTCAATTCAGTTAGACTGGCCGCTTGAACATTCGTCACAATAACCTTTGCACCTAACCTGATTACTCCTGTTTAACCAATAAAATTCCTGTCCTCTCTAGCACTGAGATTTTGTGAGACAATGAAGAAATTTTATTGGTTAAAGCATATTCTAATTAGACTGATACTACTGTGTCAATAAACAAGAAAAGATACTCATAGTCAGTGAAACCTAATTTTAAAGTTCTGTAATGATTTTGGCAATAAATCGTTTTCATTTCTTTTATAAACTATATTTATAGGTACTACCTTGTTGACAAGAAGGTCCACCCCAGCCTCTCAAACAACCACTATTGCAAAAACCAGTTATAGCATCACATCTTTCATTATATAAACAATGACAGGTATAACTATTTCTATGTCCAAAATTATAACCTGAAAATATAATATTATAATATTCATTATAACAAACACTAGTTACAGTATCACATAATTCATTATATAAACAATGACAGGTATAACTATTGTTATATCCAAAATTATAACCTGTAAATATAACATTATAACATTCGTTACAACAAACACTAGTTACAGTATCACATCTTTCATTATATAAACAATGACAGGTATAACTATTTCTATATCCAAAATTATAACCTGTAAATATAACATTATAACATTCGTTACAACAAACACTAGTTACAGCATCACATCTTTCATTATATAAACAATGACAGGTATAACTATTTCTATATCCAAAATTATAACCTGTAAATATAACATTATAACATTCGTTACAACAAACACTAGTTACAGTATCACATCTTTCATTATATAAACAATGACAGGTATAACTATTGTTAAATCCAAAATTATAACCTGTAAATATAACATTATAACATTCGTTACAACAAACACTAGTTACAGCATCACATCTTTTATTATATAAACAATGACAAGTATAACTATTTCTATATCCAAAATTATAACCTGAAAATATAACATTATAACATTCGTTACAACAAACACTAGTTACAGCATCACATCTTTCATTATATAAACAATGACAGGTATAACTATTTCTATA